AGCGTTGTTTCGGGATTTGAACTTCTACTGCGTAATGATATATAATATAATATTTACTCACGGTTTCGTCAAAGGTCATGTCCATAACAAAAAAAAAAAAAAAAAAAACGAATAAGATCATGTAAACTATAACAATAATATGTACTACTTTTTTTATTTATTTCTTGTTAATCTTAAACTTTAAACTATTGGGCTTCAATAGTCATTGGTTACAATAGGTTTGAACCTTACTATATTATATTATACGGTATAGGTACTTATAATAACGATATAGTAAATAATGTTTTACTACAATACTGTGCGTTGTCTGCGCACGGCTGCAACGTTTTTATCTCGATTGTAATGTTTCAAATTTACAACGCTATTATTATTACATACATACACTATTATAATATAGACGCCATACGATATAATGTATTGTGTATATCTGTACTTATTTTATAGTATTGTTTGTTATTACATCTGCAAGGTCTGCGACGCGCATATTTTTATACGAGTCTTGCGATAACAGCATGCCGCCACATTTTTTTTTTTTTATCCCTAATCGAACGTCGCCAAAGCGGGGAACACACGCTTGCAGAGACATGGCGCGTGCGATGATATCGTCGTTAACCCGCGTACGAACCGCGTCTCGGTCGTCATGTCTCCGTCACGCAAAGACCAAAAGGGTTTTTGATTCCCGAACACATCCCGGTTCCGGTGTGGGTACGTATATAATATCGTCCCGTTAGAATGTATTATTATATGCATTCGATATTGCCGCCGTTGAGCATAATCGTCGTTGGCTTTTCGGCTTTTCGACTTTCTACAGTAATAATAATGCTTTAATGATATACGACCATGCGTATAATATAATATTATAGTTTACGCACTCAATCGCCACGATTATTGTTCCGTAATATGTAATACATTATCGATCGACTGCCATCCAATTGATCGTTTCTAATCCAGGATTAAAGGAATGGTAAGCGATAATACGGAAGAAGTGGGCTATTATGTATAATATGTATAATATGGTCGTTAGTTCAATGGTTTAGGGTATCGCTGCGTGGACATCATAATTAAACGTTATTTTACCATAGATTACCATATTATTAATAATAATCGCAAGATGATTTGATTTTTTTTTTCTTTTAAAGTATTTATCCACTTATATTAATTTTACAATAATTATGTTTTGTTCTTAGAAATTTATTTTCGTGGTGTTAAAAAAATGATTACACTTATAAATTAAAATATGGCCAATTTTACATTAAAAAAAATCAAGTTTTTAAATTTCTTGTGATGTAACTAACCATTTATTTTTAACAAACTTTCTACTAATTTCGAATAGTTTTAATTCAGTAAAAATTTATTAATTAATAATATTTTCTCTCAAGTTTAAAACACAATTGTCCCAATAGGTAATAACCCATTTAATCGTATATCCGAATTAATTTTTTTTTTAATTATATATGTTATAGTACATGATTGAAATAGTCAGCCATCGATTGGGATCATGTAGACTTATTTACCTCATTTAGAGTAATGTCTAGGTCAGGACCTAATACTGGGTTCTCAATCCGGGACTCGGGTTGTATGTATTCCGGGTTCTAGAAACGCGAAAACCGCACATCCGCTTCATATATTTCCACGCTGCAACTGTAATTAATAACGGATATCCGTCAACATCCGGTAGATGCATACAACAGCCATAATATTAATAATAATAATAATAATATATACCACAAAATCGTTTTAATTCCGTTTGTGCATGCGATTACGTGTATATAATATATAATGTACAGTATATATAGTATATTGTAATTTGTTGTACGTATCCATAAAATATTATATTACGCCAGTCGATAACGAAATGAACGGTCGAATATAATTTAATTATAATATAAATTGGCCAGATCGGGTTAATAGTAATATTTATATTTATTTCGATGACAATATCTGCAACGTTCAACTTGACTAAACAAGTATCGTCTTAAACTTAAATAATAATGACACATTTGTAATACATTTACGGTATGTTGTCGCTAGTTAGTATACATTTATAATCTTATTTACAATTCTCCCTGGTTCTAAAACTATTTTATTACGTTAATTATATATTTGAAATCGTCGAAGCGTAATTAGTTAGTACTGCATATAATATTCAGTAGGTATGTATGGTATATATGATTGGTACCTATTGTATTATCGTTAGTCGTTTGGTTGTTTTGTAAACATTACCAGCCGTTCGTGTTAAGAGGACGCCACGCCCGCATGCATTATTTCTGTCTTGTATACATACAACATGTAAAATGTTCGTTCAGAAAAATCCATTTTATGTTGTTAGAAGATTTAATGTTAGAGAAATTTACCTATTATCAAACTTAAACGTTAGAATTTTATCTAGTCCACCATATAAGCTTTTATTAATATTATAATTTAAAAGTAAGTTATGAGCATTTTAAAGTTTTATATTTTACATTGCTATAATTCAGTTCAAAATTAAAATATCAATAAAAGCCTATGATGATAGTAATTTTACTATAAATTAAAGCTAACAACATAAAATGGATTCTGCTGAACAATAATTTGCTGTGTTGTATGTTTGCTAGACAGAGGTAACATATGCAGGTGTGGCATCTTCTTAACAAATATATTATTATGGAACATTTTAATCATAATGCTGCCAAATGATATTTCTATTAATATGAAATGTATTTTTTTTTTAAGTTAAATTATAGTGTACTACTATGTTTAGTTGAAGTAGTTGTTGAAATATGATTCAGTATAATAAGAAAACAGACAAATGCAAAAAGATGTTTGATGGATCTAGACATCGATTTTCTTTCTATTTTGTGCTCCTTGAAGTAAAAAAAAAAAAAAAAAAATAGATAAATTTCGATTTATTATCCCACGTATACCGCATTGAGCAGATTACATTTTTGAGCTTCGGCCAAATATTTCGGTAGACCGGAATAAAATTAATTTCAGTACATTTAGCCAGACAATTCATTACACGACTTATCTCTTCCAGTACCTTAACATTTCTTAAACAATTTTAAGTGTATAGTTATAGAAGAACAATTGGCGTTGTTTAAGTAAAAATAAAAAATACAGGCCGAGAACGATTGGAAAAAAAAAAAATAACATCTTAATAGTATTAAATTATAAGTACAAAGCCCGGTACACTACTTTTGTAAATAATAAATTATGTGTAATAATTTGTATCATATTTACGTAGGAAAATATTAACCAGATAATTGACAATTTATATTGGTTTTAGTTGACTGATAATAATGCACGTGCCTTTGATGCATAGTCTACACAATTAATTACTATAATCAATTAGTTCCATGCCTAGAATGTTAATTTGCTATTTCAATTGATTGCTTTGATGCTATATTGATGTACAAACACGCATAAACAGAGTAACACTAATTCTCGAACGGCCCACATATTATACGTCCAGATTTTATAACAGAAGTAATAAATATAATAATCTACACCATTAAGCCTAATGGTGATGCGGTGGGTGATATTATGTATTAATTTTAGGTGTACGTGTAACTAAATATTTTGAAAATTGACCATGTTAAAACGACGATCGTTATTTTGAGTGGTGTAATAGATACAACTACAACAAAATTCAAATGAACGGAGGATCGTATTTCTACGTGTCGATGATTTAATCTTCGAGGCAAAAAATTATCCCATTCAAATATTATTGATACTAAGAAAAAGGATAAATCTAATTGTAATTCCATGTATTAAAACGCATAATAGTTATAATGTAAAGCCGTTATTCTTTATTGCCAAGGATACTTGTAACAATGTAACAAAATTGCTCACCGACTAAATGACAATTATTTGCATTGTTTTTATACTATAATGTTCAATGAAATATTAAAATACTTATAATATAGTCAACAAAAGATTACCAAGTATTGAGTGATAACGATTGACCATAGCTTTGAATTTAGACGTTATAAATATTAACATACACTAATTAACTGCAACGAGTTAATGTATTTTTACGTAGGTAATTATATTTATTAAAAATGTAACCATCTCTATTAAAGAATAATCGATAATTATTTATCAATGACTTGAAAGTTGAAGTATGTTAAAAGCAAACAGTTGTATACCAAATGGATACATATCATGCGAATAAAATCATTAGTTTAAGTAGGAGTCTGACGATTGATAAGATGTGACCAATAATGGTTGAAAATTTCTTAAAATTACTGTAAACTTATAATATTGTGTATAATTAAGAAAATTCTCAGTTTATTCTTCCGTTATAATTAAATTATTAAAACTGCATTGAAACGTACCAATGAAAATTATTTAAAGGACCTAATTAAAAAGAAAAAAATCTGATTTTCTGGGTCACAATTATTTGTTTGCTAAGTTGATAAAAAGTTTTATATATATTTACACACTTCATATTTGTTGAAATCACTTGATTTACAACTTTCCATTCATGATTTTCTTTTTATCTCTACTCGAAAAATTTTAAATTTTTCTTCTTACTACTTATTTCATGTGTGCGATACAGACATACCGTTTTATTCTAACGAAGTTAGTGTTCGTGTGTATAGATAAATATAAAACTAGATCTCTAGTCTCCTGTTTATTACCAGAAGTGTAAACATTTGAGTCTTGCTTATAATAAAATAGTAATTTTTACGACCATTTTAAAAAGGTAGTTCATATTATTATATTTTTATTACATAAATTTTCATTAGACTTGGAATCATCCGGCCTGTTGGATGAGTAAAAACATTTCACTCGGTGCTTGTGTAGTACACACGTTAATTATTACAACAATAGTAGGTCTTATAGCCAATAGTATTCGTCATTTTAATCGTTACTTCTCCAAATAAAAATTTAGAATTTAATTTAAAATAAAGGGTTTATAAACATTCTTCTACATTACGCCATCTCATCATAAATTAATGTCGCTACGCCACATATACTATACACAAATTAACGCTTATATATTATTTTGTTTTCAGCATGGATTGGTTCCCGTCACATCGTTACGTTCATGTTGTTCCTCGGCATGGCCAACGCCTACATCATGAGGACCAACATGTCAGTAGCCATAGTGGCCATGGTCAACCAGACAGCACTGGAAAGGGACCCGACCATTCCGGACGACGAATGTGAGGGCTACTACACACCCGCCGCGAACACAACCGTACACGTAAGTATACCGACACTACACAATATAATAGAGCCCACAATTAACTTTTTTCGGACGTAAAAAAAAAAAAAAAAAGAATGATCAAACATTTAGTAGAAATGTTTAACTTGTTATTGACGTCGCTAAAAAATCCGCCGTTGAAAAGTGAACGTAAAATACGTTTAAATTATGTTTATTTATAATACAACTACGCTGCAGTAGAACTAACGATGGAACAGCAATATTGATTGGAGTAATAAAAAAAAAAGTCTTATACAATTTTTAATAAAAGTCAAAAAAAGTTCTACCAATGAAAAATTATAATTGTTTAAGTTCGGTAGCGGGGGTACTATAAAAACTTTTCGTAATTCATTCGTAAATTGTTGGACGGATAAATTATTATTATAATTTTTTGAACAGAATTTTAATTTTTAACTTCACATTCATGTTCGTGGGTAATTGTACTGTGAACTATGAAAACAATTGTGTTTTATATTGAAATATACACGGCTAGTATAAATCTCAAATGGACTTCACAATTATTTTCATATTAAAGATTAATATGATTTTTATATTAATTTAAGACTTATTTATTCATCTTAAAATTGTTTTGTATGTATTGTGAGTGTAAGAAAGTACGTAATCTTAAATAGGAAGTTGCAATACATCAGTGGTGGATATGAAGCTCATTTAAGGGAAAGGGGTTAACTGCTACAGTGCTATGTATACGCAATATAATATAAAACCATTTTTGATGATTTATATTTATAAGGCAACTATAATTCACTAAAGACTACATAAACAAGTCTAAGAGTGTTATAAACTACATGTCATTATTTTCAAATCCACCACTGCTGTATACTGTTATAGTAATACTTTAAAAAAAAAAACTAAGTTCTTAGAATTTAGATAATAACTAATTTTTTTATTCAAATATAATGTTATATATGTAATAATGTTATAAATTATATAAAATAGCTTAAGCTCAATTTTAAGCTATATTAGTATTTTTGTTTTGCATACAAATACACATATTCTTTCTTTTTTTTTATTTTGTATAATTATGCTTATCTATATTAACACTATTAAAAAATAATTAATAACGCATATTATAATAATATACGAAGATTTTAATAGCTTTATTATGAAATCATTGACTAACGCATGCTTTATTATTTGTGTATTATTTCAGAACATGTCCAACGAGGGATCATTCTTATGGAGCACGTCCCAACAGGGCTATGTGCTCAGTTCATTCTTCTACGGCTACGTTATAACGCAAATACCATTTGGGATACTGTCGAAGAAGTATGGCGCCAAGTATTTCCTTGGCGTTGGCATGCTCATAAATTCGGTGTTCGGCTTTTTGGTGCCGTTATCTGCCAACTTCGGCATATTTTCTCTGATCACCATACGTTTCATTCAGGGCCTTGGAGAAGTAAGTTTCGTTGTATAATATTATATGACGTAGTATTTTACTTACGAAAATAGATTATTTATATAAAAATATCTACATTCAGAATATTCTATTCAGAACGTAGACGATGCATTTAGTATAATATGACATTGTAAAAGTTAAAATAGGTGAAATCATATTGTTGGTTAGTTACACCTAATTATTTTTTCTCAATAAATATTAACTATGTTCGTGTTTTTATCGAGATTTTTTAAATTTTTTTTTTTAATTTTGAAAAAAAAATGCAAATAAATATAGGAGTAGAACAGTAGGTACATGTATTTTTAAAATCCCAAGAATGACTGTAAGCAAGTGTTTAACATCAGTTGTTGGTTAAGTAAAATATTAAAAACTTTAAAAAATGTATTATTTTACCAAATTAGATACGAAATATTGTAAATTATGGAAAACATTCAAACCATAGAAAATATGTTTAACGTGTTCACTGTTTATGCAATATGCGTCAGTTGGGTTTTTTTCACTATTACCTATAATATTGATGTGGGTAGGATTTAGCAGAAGATCTAGATGGCGCACATGTTCTGAATGGTTCCCATGGGGGTTTTAAATATTGAAATGTGATCAATTTAACCAGTCTTTTACCCTAACATCGCCGGATGATTGAAATCATGGAACATGTGTTTATATTTTATCCCACCTGTGTATCCATTTTCAAATTTATATTTTTGCTCTTTTACCAGAAAAACAATAAAAATACGTATGAAATAATATTCACATTGAAATTTTATTGTTTCTCTATTTTAATTAATAACTAGTTTCGACAGTATATCCCTATATCTTACAATTCTCACTTATATATACATTTATTATGTATACTATTTCGGAATGCGAACATCCGATATTAAACCGAATAATAATTTATTTTTCGATTACTAAGGTGTTGACAAATTGCAAGTTAGTGGACGTTCGTTTATACGAAATACACGTGACCTAGTTATTGCTTTTGACGTTTTTTTGAACTTAAAATTAACAAACGTCCCTTAAATTTCAAACTATCGTGCGTCGATAGTGCATGGTGTTGATTTCGTGAAAATGGTGTGCACAAAAATTTAGCTTGGTTAGGAAAATGGATTAATGACCGTGTATATATATATATATATTACCTACTCTACTCTTTAACTATAGACCGTGTTTTATTTTTCAAACATCTAATAAAGACTCTAATGGTTGTTTGCCTTGTTTGTTTTTTCAGGGTCCCATAGTTCCTTGTACACACGCCCTGCTTGCTAAATGGATCCCTCCGAACGAGAGGAGCCGTATGGGAGCATTCGTCTATGCAGGTTAGTTACTATGCGTATACCACCAAGTTAGGTACAATTATACAACCAAATGCTACTGGAGTGCATAGCCTATCCCTATCCTATTTTTATTATTATTACTATTATTATTATTATTATTATTCAATTTTATAGTTTATTTTCTCTTTTCGTCTTCATACAAAAAAAAAAAAAAAAAAAAAAAATACATCAATGATAATTCATAGATAACTACATTTTTTAAACACGTGAAATAACAATGGGTACTTGTAGGTGATCTTTATACAAACGTTAGTAGTAGTACCTTTACAAGTATAATATGGTCGTTATTCTTGGGTTTTAATTTTTTTTTTTTTTTTTGAACATTAAAATTATAACGTAATCCCTAAAAGAGTTAAACTTATTAAAGTGACACATTGCAATATCCTGCTGAGTCATCCTTGTTAATTTAAGCGTATACAATTTAAGTCATGTTTGTTTAATCCTGAATTTATGGTTATGCTTGTACTTATTCAACTAACATACGAGTACTATATATCGGATACATGCGTCGTGTTTTGGTTAATTTAATATACCTAGTATTTTTATATATTTGGGTTTTTTTTTTTTTGCGAAACGACCATGACTTAACACAAAAGGTTATTACAACATACAGGTATAATGCTAATATTCGGTAAATGTGTACTGACATTTTTATTTTATTTTTTTTTTTTATCTAGAGTTTTAAGAAATCACATATAGATTACTGAACATTTTCAAGCGTAATGAACGTTACGTCTAAACAAAATATTTTAATCATATTATGATCAATTATATCATTATAATATTATTCCAATACACCGTAACACAGGATCACTAAATATATAATGTGCTCGTTGTATATAATTTATCATATATAAAATATAACGGATTTGGTATTCGAGTACACCGATTTCAGTATTCGACAATAAAATATTATCCTAACCTCAGCCAATAATATTATCAAACCATAATCGTTTAATAATTTTGTTTTTTACTTAACAGGGGCGCAATTTGGCACAGTCATTTCCATGCCACTGAGTGGCGTACTTTCGGAATACGGGTTTGCCGGTGGATGGCCGTCAATATTCTACGTGTTCGGTGCTATCGGCACCCTGTGGTCCGTCGCATTTTTGTGGCTCGTACACGAGGACCCCGAGTCTCATCCCACCATACCGCATGACGAGAGGAAATACATTATTAGTTCCGTTTGGGGAGCTGCCGGTGTGTCCGTGAGTGTATTACAACTATTTTGGCGCGCGCGGTAGAACGGTAATAACAATTAAACTACCGGAATTTATTGGTTTTTAAATGATAAAATATACATCACACGTACACGCACACACAGATCACAAAGTACTGCAAGCATACACACCCTCGTTTTAAACACTGACCCTCTGAAGCGCCGCACCTACACCCCCGTCCCCCGTGCATTGTGAGCATCGTGGGTGGTTGTGGAATATTTATGAAACCCGCGTTGGTACCGTACACGCTGAACACAAGAACCGACATGTAAATAATAATTAATTAAAATTCTATGTAGGTATTATTTACTCGAAAACACGATATTATAATTAATACTATATAATATAGTATTCTGTTCAAATATTATGCATCGTGTATGGATAAAAAACATGCATCGCGATCGTTTCGAAATAGAACAAATAGTCGTCGTCGTGCCTAGTTACGGTATTATAATGCACGAATACGCAAAATATACGTTTAATTTGTTAAATACATTATATTATAATATTATTAATATTAATTGGCAATAAAATTCTGCTGTCACACAATTTGGCTATTATTATTCATGATTTATTAGATTATGAGATTTATATCGTATTTGATACGACACTATTTTCGAATAAACACATATTATTATTAGTTTGATGGTAATATTAATTCTCCGTTGACCATTTTTATTGATGTTTACACTTGCCATATTTTCTTGGCTCGAATATCTTATCACTTTTTAAAAAATTTCTAAAAATAACCAATTTACGGGAAGAATTATAGTTTAATTGCAGGCAAAACAACTAATTAAATTGCGTCTAATCACAAAATCCATAAAAATTACGTATTAAACGATATGAGACGTGTTAAGGATAAATGATATGGACGTTTCCAATATCATGCGTTTAATATAATCGAGCTTCAAAAAACCGTAGCTTTTTAGTGTTGAATATAATTTCTTTTATAACAGTATTCAGTTTGACAGGAGATTAACGTATTTCACTCAATATATTACGCAAAGTAGATTATACGAGTATTGTATGGTTTTGTTTTTTTTTTTTTTTTTGCGTTTCACTTATCATTTGTGCTGTGCGCATAAATAAAATACTCGTCTTGGTCATAATTTGTCAAAATGTTAAGTCTTACAATAACGTTAATTAATAAAACTAGCCTCCATTGTTGAAGGGTATTTAGGATTCTTATAATATAAAGAATGCCTCGAAGTGGAAGTCTTGTAATTGGCAGTTTCTGCGACTTTTCCATCGCCTTATTAAAGCTTTGATAATATTTTTAGTAGTTGGTTTTATTTCCTTGAATTTCATAAAATATAAGATGTTTAAAAAAATATGAAACGAATAATATATTATAAATTTATGAAATTGGCATTCATTCGTTTATTAAAATATCGTTTTGAGTAAAATCGTGTTTGGATTTTAATTTATTGTTTTGTTAAAATTTAGTATTAATTATTGACAATGTTTTGATGAAGGTTAAACAATATAATTCGATATTCCAACTAATGAATTAAATTTCAGCCTATAAACTAATAACCCCTCGTTCTTGGTGAAACTCTTATTCGGAATTTACACATTCGGAAACATTACGTAATAATAATACCTTTATTCAACATTAAAACAAAATTTACAGTTTATAATTAAGTGAGTTATGACTAATTATCCCTTATTGATGAATCCCTTTCCACACAAGTTGTACAATTTATTTATCTCTATTGGTATACTAATTTGTTTTTATGAAAATAATTTTTAATTAAATTACCTATCATAATAATTATTATTTTTGCGTGGAATAAAACAACCGTTGGCAGTTTGATGAGTTGAAAGGAAATTCGTAGGGCATTATATTATGTTGAATTGATTAAAAAAATATACCTGCAAAATTCTATTATTTTGAATATTGATAAATTGTTAAGTGTTTTTAAACAAATGAGTGAGGTACGTTTAGTGGGAAATTATATATTGTGTATGTATTCCGTTTATAATATTCAAGTTTATTTACTTGATCCGTTAAAGTTTTTTTATATATAATGTTTGTATACAAATAAATTATAAAAACCTTCTTCAACTAAATTTGTCAATTTTTTTTTTTTTGTTAAACTTTAAGAATCCAATGCGCAAGTGTTTTATTTTAATTTACTTAATGTTATACATTTTTAAAATATGATAAGCCCTTACACCAACAAAAAATTACTTTTGATATCACGTTTTAAGTAAGAAATTTCCTTTACTTGCTTTCTACTCGCTATAACTTACTGGGTATATATACATTATATAAACACTCCGACAGATCCGACGGTAAGGGAAATACCTACATTCATTATTTATTTATACTCCCGGGTATCAACTTATCAACTTGGGCGTGAGCTACAGAGGGTTTAATTTATCAGTGTCCTAAATAACGATATTGTTTATGTTTTTCTTGGGTTATGATTTTTTCTTGCATTTTCAGCTCCAATGCAGTTTTATTATATTGTTAAATTTTTATCTTTGGTTGCAATTTAATTTCCCAAACTTACCATATTTCGATGTTGCGGAACCTCAACTAGTGAATCTTTTAACAGAATTCGTGAATAAAATAAAATGTAATCTTAAATATTTTTTTACCCAATTAAGCTCGTTACCTTATTTTAAATTCTTCTAATTCTTTATTCATATTTTTTTTTTTTTTTGCAATCATCGTTTTTTGTATTAGTTTAATATTTGATTATAATTTATAATTCACGGATTTGAATAAAACTTTTAATCTACCATTATTTATATAATTGATTTGTATGATTTCTCGCATTACCAGTATACGTGACATGAAGACATTTTTTTTTATTTATTTTTTTTTTTATATAACATTAATAAAAGTTAAATTTAAATAAAAAAAAAAAATAAATAAATACTATTTTAGTCATCGCAAACTATGTGTAGACACATGAAACTAAAAAATATAGTTGCATAAAAAAATGTTTAATATTTTCTTTAACAGATTATAATAATATGGCAACTGCACGAAATTAAAAAAAGAAAGCTATATTCAACCAAAAATATTTTTACTATAGTTGTCAAAAATAACTTCAATAATAACTTTCAATAAAGTAAAACATTAATGAAAAATGTTATAGGCTTCATCCTTAAAGAAACATGATTGTTAAAAAAAAAAAAAAACAGTTACTTTTGAGCGTATTTATCTTCTCAACATCTCTCATGAGTCTTAATGTCTGTATAATTATCATTTTATTTACATTTAATACATTTTGTCTTTTTTCTTTGTAATTATTATGCATAATGTTTAACATAAAATATATCGTTGAGACTTTATTCATTGATGTGAAAATGTATTATTCAAAGTTATATACAATGTTAATTAAACTATTAATTTGTATAATACATACAAATAAGAGTACACACTAAAAGGATATTGTATAATTTACTCTAGAAATAACTGATCGTATAGACATTTATGCCTACACCAAATTAAAAAAAGTAATACTGTTATTATACCAAAGTGTTTGTTATTGAATACTGGGACATGTAAAATATACATTCATGGGTAACCCGTGTGCATATTAAATATGGCTGTAGGTACTCGTACTACTTTGAATGTAATATAAAATAAATTATTATGATGCACGGAAGTTCGAATCGTTTTATTTTACCTTATTTAAAAAAATAAAAACAATACTATTCTTGTTTAGCAACTACGCGCAATAATAGCCATGCGCAAGTGTACGGTATTATAGTATTTCGTATAATATGCAATCGTAATAACGTCTTGGGCAATGGGGTTTTGGCCGTTTTGTGCGCGAAGAACGAGTAAAACTCAATAGATATGTTATTGTTCGGCGGAACTTTTAGAAACACAATCTCGTTTCTCACAACTCCTTGTTTTTATTTTCTAGTCTCCCCCTGTGCCATGGAGAAGCATATTAAAGTCGGCTCCGTTCTGGGCCATATTGGTCGCTCACATGGGTCAAAATTACGGATACGAAACGCTCATGACCGAGCTGCCGACTTTCATGAAACAAGTGTTGCACTTCAATATAAAAGCTGTAAGTATATAAAACTATAATAGTATTTTATTATGTTATTTACGTTTGTGTGTATACACTATTATGATTTATAAACATTACAGGATACTAAAACTATATTACCACTGGAAAGAGTGGGGGGGTGGGATATTTATTTTATTATCTTCATTTTTATTCATTTACCTGCACTCTACGTTTCCAGTAATCGATAAACATTACTATTCGTTTGTTATTTGATAGAACGGAACGTACTCGTCACTGCCGTACCTCGCCATGTGGGTGTTCTCAATGGTGGCCAGCCATATAGCCGACATGATGATCTCCTCAGAAAAGTTTTCGCACACTCTCACGCGCAAAATCGTCAACTCTATCGGTAAGAATTACAATAATTAATTTTACCCGTCACGAATACCTGGCTTACAGTTATAAAAACGATAGGTGCAATAGGTACATATAGTGATAATAACAGGCGATATTGAACTGATGTGCAAATGGCAGGCGGAATGTTTGAGTATATTGATCTTTTTGGTCTTGGATCTCGATGTAATGTACATTACGCATATACAATGTATATTGGGTAGATACATTTTATAGTACAACATTTCCTATAGGTAGTCATTAGTTTAAACAGCCAAGTTTTCGTAGCGAATTATATTTTATGACCTTCAACACGATTTTGCACTAAATAAATAAACCAATAAGGTGAACGTTCGGAAAGAGTTTCCTTTCAAAGTTGTAATATATTTGTAAAGTGCGGATCGTATCGAGGAGACTTTGTGAAGAACAAGCTTTTTTAAAAGCTTTGAAGTCTTAGAACTTATCAAATTATAATACAAGCGTATACAATACATTCTGCATGTTAAGCACATAGAAAATATTTAGACGGAAAAATATAATATTGTAGCTACGAGGGGAAACAAGGAACGTTAGTCTACCGTCTTTGCATTTAATGTATTTTCAAGGTTGGTAAAAAATTCACAAGCTTGAATAAAAAATGTTTACCCAGAAAGAAATTTTGAAATATTAATAACTAATTGACTGTCGTTAATGATTTAACAACGTATGATACAGTTGTCCGTTGTATGGATTTTAGCCGTTAGGTTAGGTTACTAATAAATGTATAACAAATTTATAAAAATTAAACATAAAATATAATAATATTATATAATAATTGAAAATCGATGTTAATTTTTGTTATCGTCGTTTTCGTATATATACAGTGTGATTCTTCAAGCATGTGCCACCCCTATTTCGTCTTTTAATAACAAGTTTATTCAAATAATGATTTTTGTAGTTGTAAGATAAACACTTGAGATAATATTTTTAAGCACTTAAAATTGTTATACCATTTAAAGAGCGTCGACGATAAACATTTATTTATTTTTTTTTTTTTTAATCAGAAACAATTATTTTAACTGCGGATTATTAAAGTGATTATAATATGTTTAAAAATATTGATAAATTTTAATCAAATCCTCCTTGTATACTGTATATCACTGTATACACCATAAATATTTACCGTATTGTCTATAATATTATATTATTACAAGTGTATGTACTTTCGTACAGACCTACCTGTATAAAGAAAGTATAATAGTTTGAGATAATATTTCGGCTCGCGACCATATATGCGTACGTGCATACAATATTCTAGTAGACGAATGTGGTTTCGTAAAAAAAATAGTCATGCATTTAAGGTATCATTATCGTTATTCCGTGACATATTGTAGTTATCTAACGATGCGTCTATAAATAGTACTTTTCTATTCGAAGACTCGCATTTATATACGGTATATACGCCCAAATTAAAAAAGGTTCAAAACAAACAGATGTTACAATTATTTTAACTTATTTAACTATACTTATATAAACCAATCGTGAATTTTATTCCATAAAAATAAATACGATTTGAACTTACATTTTTGTAAATTAAAAAGAAAAACCTTTTCTCGTTCTTGGCTAATTTATTAGGAGGAAAATAATATAATTTCACGGTGGGATTTAATTGTAGTTTTTAGGGATAAAAGTAACACTATCGCAATGATTTATAATGTTTTAAGGTCGGTGGTAGAAAACAAATATTAGCTATGTAAAAACAAACGAAAAAAGGAATCCATATCAAAACAATAAAAATAAATAGAGTTCTTAATTGTTTTCGTACACACACACACACATATACATTATATATAAGCTTATTCTGTATGGCTATGCCCTTGATAAATCAAATAATGCCAGTAGATTTATCCTGTCTTAAACTTTCTTAAAAGTAAAGTAAATTATTCATATTTTTAATACAGCCATTTGGTTATTCTTAAACAATTATAAAATGCTGGTCAAAAATTGTGTACAATAAATATTTTATTTTTTGTATCTAATGACAACCCTGAAAATTGTTTTTTATGAATCTAAAAATCCCTGTATGAGTACGACTTTAAAACGCAAAATTTAAAAACTGATTTCAAAGTACACATTTTTAGGTATAGATGTACCTATGTAACAAAATTCAAAACTTGAAATCTGGTAAACTTGATTGTAGATCGCTTCTACTATAAACTCACCACACATACACATTTCCTTTTATAAAAATATATTAATTTAAGTTTATTAAAATATACGGTTTATTTTCAATATAAAATTCTTTCATATTTACAAAAAACAGCCTTGCACAATATTTATTCACATAAATCTTGTTCAATGTTAGTCTGTGACGTCAAAAGTAGTGCCTAACTGCAGTTGTTGGTAATCTCAACAGCAATTTCGAGATGTTGATTATAATAGTGCAGCCCAAGGGAAATCACTAATGTAGTAAAAAAAAAAAATATATATATATATAAATACTTCACATTAAATAAATGGGCTTAAAAATTATATATATATTTTTATTACCTATATATGTAGTGCCGCAATATTATAGCAAAGAAAAAAAATAATGAGAAATCATGAATACTTGAGATGTTTTTTCCGACTGCACGATATTATAATATTAAATTTTAATGATAGTTGCATAATTTTCAGTCAGAGTATTATTTAAGCAAATATTCAATTAAAATGACAGAATAATCATGTAGGTAGATTTATAAATCATAAATTATTATTATTATTATAATTTATAACATTTATCAATATTCGCCAACAAAATGTTATCAACAAATCACGCTAGATAGTTAAGTTTTTCTTTCTACAATAACCCTATTTTTTATTGATTTTTAATAATATACTAATATATTAAGTGTATAAGAAATACGAGTCATAATAATTTAAATTAATAATCTCGAAGTCTTAAAGTTTGGAAAAGCATTCAAATTGTCTACAGAGTTCAAGTTTATAATTTAATCCGGGTTTACTATTGTGCTTGCTGGTAACTGAGATTTATTAATTTACCTTTAATATATATGTATACGCATATACATTTTATATATAACAATAATTTTGATGTCATATCATACTCTGAATATAAGAAAATGTCGGTATACGTTCTGAGATATTCTATTTCAATCATATAATATTTATTGAGTTGTACAACGGACACAGTACATATAATATATTTATAAACTTTTTAATAAACATTATAAATTATAATAATATATAAAACATTTTTATGATAGTTTCTATTAAAAACTCATCGAATTTAATTTGAATTTAATTACATTATCACAAATTAAAATTGAATAATTACAACATATGACGACAATCATTAATTGTCATATAAAAGTTTTGTATTTGGTGTAATATCATAAAAAAAAAAAAAGTTATTATATTTTTTCTTGTTTAGTATATTTTTTTTTTCATATCACTAAAAATTGTGTATGAAATGTTATATTTTATGAAATGTATGTTATTATAATATTATACATATTATTATATACTTTACTTATATGATACACATATAAAATTATTGGTTTATTCAGTAATTCAATTTAATTAATGCACAATATCCAAACACAAGACTGTTTTCGAGGCGTTAAATTAATTAAGAGTTGTTTATTTAAGGGTATTACATGTATTGTTTGTCTTTAGACCGAATATTCTCTCTCTTTTTTTCTCTTCTTTCTTTTGAACACGAAAAATAATTATCACACTTGTAGTTAACTCCATTACGTTCAGTGAACTGGAAATTAAAATATTTATAAACTATAAACAAAAAAACAAATTTATTCAAATTTTCTTTTTTAATAAAATAAACAAAACTCTTGGAAATACAGATATTAAAAAAATTATAAATGATGGTACGAGATGTAAGTACTGTATATTCTTACATTTCTCAATTAAATTTAACCGTAGTATTATATTCTAAAAAATCATAAATTTAAACTATTAAAAATGCTTTAATTATTTAATTAAATGTTACTATACAAAATGGATGCAGAAGACATATCATATACAACATTTATTATATAACTTCTTTTTATAATAAACTACTTGTAAATATTATTATAATTCGACATAAAAATATAATTTACAGTAAACATATACATTTTCAATATTTTATGCAACTGTGCTTAAATACATTTTTTAAAATTAATTTAAAAATATAAAAATATAAACCTTTTCATTTTATTCACATTATGTTAATTATATTTTTAATTATATCATTTCATTTCATCAATATTTAGGGTAGATTACTTAATTTTTTTGATGACTTGTAGAATTCGATAACAGATTCTGAGTGGAGGCACATTTAAAACTGACACAATAAATAAATTAAAGTTTGAGTAAAAAAAAAAAAAAAAAAAAAAATAGAAACTTACTAAAAAAAGATAGACTGATGATTTTCACGATCCAAGTAAATCAAATTAGCCCATAATTTCAAAAAGTAATTCCATTTTTTTTTTTTTTTTTTTTAACTAAATATTTAATATTTATATTTTTAATGTGTATACATTCTTATTATTATTAATTATTGTTTAATTATTTTCTAAAACATAATCGAAATGATAAATATATATATATTTGTTGGCATTTTAGCAAAAGAGAACACCTTGAATACAATAACTCGTTTTTAACTATATGTTTTTAAATGAAAACCAAGTATAGTTATCAGTGTTATCACCATTTTTATATCTTTAACAACGAATTTATTGGTATTATAAATTTTATAATTTTAATGTACTCAAGAATTATATTTTTTTAAATTGTTTTATGTGATTTTTAGAAATTTCTTCTGTGGTAGTTATAACTTATTTCAAACAAATTAGTTTTTTTTTTTTTTTACACTGTCAGATGATAAATCAAAACAGATATTTTTTTCTGAAAAATGATACATCTCAATTAAAATTTGAACTAACAGTTTCTGAGTTATCAAACATAATATATTGTTGATAATAGCTCGAAATAACTGACAGAAAAGATATGTGAGTGATGATGATTTGAAAATTTGAGAGTTTAATATTAATATATTTATGAATCAATTGTATAGTTTATAAAAATTGTCCGAGTATCAAAGTATTATAAGAACTGGACTAAATGTTACATATATTTTATATTTTATAATGGTCAGTAAGAACTATATTATTGTTATTATATAAGTATTAAATTATTCAGAAACTGTTTGTCCAAATTCTGATTTAAATGTGTCATAATTTACATCAATATAGCTGATGGCTGATATATTATTTATAGGTACCTAATTTACAGTAAAAAAGGGTAATTTTAATTTAAAATAAAGAATATTACTCCTTGAATGGTATAAAAAAATCTAAGTATACAAAGACATGATCTTAAAATATTCTTAAAAATCCAAAAAACAGAATAAATAATGCATTAATTAACGATAAAAAGGCATTTCGAGCAAATTACCGTGTATTATATTCGTTCAAAATTTCTGATTATAGGCTGCGATATTCCGATCATTAAACGAAAAATATATGAATCTTAAGTAGGATATTTAAATGATAATATGTATTAGACTGAACGAAATCTAAAATGGATACTATAGTAATGATAAAAAAAAAAACATAATAATAATAATAACATTAAATATTTTCAAAGAAAATTTGATAGTTTTTATTTTTTTGAAAGATTATTTTAAAGGACCAGTATTATACAGTTGACGAAGATACGGCGATGAGTTAAAATAAAAAATAACATAAAGTAGTGAGTTATACATTATAACAACAGCAGCCGCTGCCGAGGTTATAATATCGTTAGCGACACGTTCGTAAAGCTAATTTCCGGTCAGAGGTCGCTTTAATGATTTCCGATTACGGACCGAAATTCGACGACGAGCCATCTTCTAATACGGCTTCTTAACAGAATAAACACAATGATCGACGATAGACCTTGGAGTGCCTGCATAATAACTATTATTATTTAGCGTAATATATTATATTTTAGCGTACAAAGGGATTCCGTTGATGTTGCGGGATATGCAATGTGTACTATATGTATTATATTATGTGTGACACCATCAGGCAACAGTTATTATCATTATTATTATCATAATCAGAGAATCAAGACCAACTCGAGTGTTTCAACTGCACACTTAGGCAAACAACAACTTTCACGCTCCACTTACGCCCCTATTTTTAGTCTTACAAAAACGCTGTCCTAGCCTACTGACGATAGTTAACCCCTAATCTGGTTCCCTCGTGTTCTGTAGAGCGTCATCGCCATTCTGATAAATATATAACTATTATTATTATTATTATTATTATTATTATTATAGACACGTGTATTGATCATGTCTCGAAAACTGTACCACAGAGATAGTTCTAATAAATGATCGGGTCGAACCTTGATAATTTTTCTTCTACTCCATCTTCTGTTTCTAGGTCAATTCGGTCCAGCAATAGCGCTAATCGCTGCATCATATACAGGCTGCGATCCGTACCTGACTGTGGCCATATTGACCGTGGGTGTGGGTCTCAACGGCGCCATTTACTCGGGATTCAAAGTCAACCATCTAGACATATCGCCGCGGTTCGCTGGAATACTGATGAGCCTGACCAATTGCTTGGCCAACTTAGCTGGATTGTTGGCCCCGATCGTTGCCGGCTACGTTATCGACAAAAGGGTAAGTCGAAAATTGTAATGTGTAAGGATGGTGACAGGTGAACACAAGTGTATATCGTGGAACGTTATTACTTGTATTAATTAAGGTCATACACCTTTTAAATTATGTCACAGGTGGGCATATTTAAATATCATATTATTTGGTGTACTATTGATAATTTGTATTGAATTTGAGCTTATAGGTATCTACTTACGAATATGTACTTATTAGTCAAATATTATTATAAAATACTGAAAATAAAAGTTTACAACTTGAATAATAAGATATCGAGATCAAACGCAACATCACCATTTGAATAAGGAAAGGAAAATTGCTATTTTATCGTGAATTCATCATATTCCTAATTATGACTTATTATCCCTTCCGATTTAATAATTCTCTTTTTAGTTAGGTTTTTGAGCTATCGATTCAATTATTAATTTGGTTTTTTATTCTTTTATTTTTGAGACTTTATTCAATGACTGAACACAAATGCTTAAAAATAATGGTCGCGTTTGGTAGCCTGAGGTATACCTGTATTTTTCTACACGAAAAAAATATACTTTTCAACTAATTATTATATAGTTGCCCTGAAAAAACAACGTTTTAATTAAAAACATCTTTAAAAAAAAAATAAAAAAAATATGCATGAAAAAAGTACGAAAACACAAAAATCTACCTTATGTATTAATGTCTCCGAATAAAAATATATAATAGATTCTTAGTAGCTAATTCTTGATATTATTTTTTCTTAGCATTATCTTTAAATTAAAAAAAACTTTTGGTAAAAAAAAAAAAAATTAGTTTTACAATTTTAAAACATTACATATAATAAATTCCAACTTATATTGCAATAATAAGTTATTTTCTTTTTCAATGATAATACGAACAAAACTTAAGTAGATACACTCAGACATTCAGTATCTGTGCATTTAAAATAGCATATTATATTAACACGATGAGTAGCTTATTATATGTTTATTAGAAAAATATTTTGGTGTAAAAAAATATTTAGTCAAAGCTTAAGAGATATATTAGGTATAATATTTATTTCTAATTTATCTTTATTAATGTTTTAATATCAAAATCTTGTATTTAAAAACCCAAGTCTACTATTATAGACTATAATATTATGATATTTAATGAGATAGTTTAATAAAACTACTTCAAACGTGATACTTAATTATATTTTTATAAAAGTTCTTATAAATAATAACTGACATTAATAATAAATACATATATGATACCAATAAAAATAAATATACAATTAATACGTAAAATAATTGATTTGAATTAATAATACCTAAAATATGCAAATACTTAAGTTATGAGAATAATTTTAAATACGTTTAGATTTTGGTCATTTTAACATGCATAGAATATCGTATAATTGATGTCATGTTTAACTATTATACCATGTAAAATATATAATTTCAAAATTTTAAAACCTCAAAATTATTTCCGCATATTATTATTATGTCTATAAAACAAACATTATATTATTAACGTGTGTTCTGTTAAATCGAATAATGTATTACGTGACTAGAATTTTTTCATGTCCTGAGGAAAGCTACTGTAAAATTTCAGATAAAGTGTTCTATACATGTTTGACGAAATTCCACTATAAAATATTATGGAAACTTTATATAAACTCAGTTGCTCAAACCCTAATAGTATAGAAGAATACAAATAATACAATAAAAAGAAAATCTTACAGTACATAATCATAATATCGCTATTTATGTTCGTCGTAATTAATTTAATAATGCCGTTTATAAATATGGTAATTTTATTTTTTTATTTTGTTATTACCCAAATAAAATAAATATAGGTCTTAAATACTTTATTAAAAATATATGTATATTCTGAAATGAAATTTTCTTTTTTTTTATATATATATATAAAATTTGTGATTAACTTAATCGTATATCACAAATACGTGTTTTATACAACGTTTTCGTGTAAACCTCCATCCAGAGTTTGCATGTTAAATTATACTTAATGAAATTACAATGTTTACTACCCTATAATGTTTTAAACCTAAGTAAGGAGTGAATATTGTATTTTACATATAATAAATTTGCATTAAGCTGATCTGATTACTACTTTTAAACTTCTATAACGATTGATCGTAATACTTATTATTAGTTATATTTTGTGCAATGTACCTAAAATGGTATTTTATAATACTAAGTTTACCAAAAATTCATCTTAGATATTCTTTATATAATATGTAAAGAATTCGTTCGTGAGGGATAGAGGGAATATCTACTTGAATAATAAATAAGTATCTTATATGATATAAATATGTGTGTGCAAATGTATATTTCAACAAAGTACATTCAAATTTTGCAATACAAAATAGTAAGGATTACTGTAGAACTTTATATGACATATAATATGGTATGTTACAAAGTTTAAGTAAATCCGTTCAACAATATTATAATATGTATATAAATATATATTTGTTTGTTTATAAATGAATAATACACATTTCAATATGTAATAAGTAATTATAAATAGTTTTAAAATTTTGTTGAAACGATGTAAGTAGGTAGTCAAAAAGTGTAGCAATCTTTAAATTACACTTATAAGTATTCATTATTTTAATGAATATTATTAAAAATAAATATATACATGTTAATTTACATATTTTACAGTGTAAACAAACATGTTCCTATTTAAATCAATATTCTATATTATTTTATTTTTTTTACAAAATATTTAACTATCTATAACAATATTATAGTTAAGGCACTTTCGAAATACAATAATATAATGAATTCATATCACGTGTTATGCGCACATATAAGTATATGTATATAAATAAATAAAGTATATATATATATATATTTTTTTTAATACCGTCTAACATCAAAATTAAACGCTATAATTAATTAAACATTATATTTAAGTCATTATTATAAATTTCAATAAAAAATTTAAATTTAATAAAAATTTATATTTTAGTAAAATGCTATTTGCATTAATAATAATTAATAATATTTTCTTTATTCAAAAAAGTAATTGTTTACCACAATGAAGTTATCTTAACAATAGCTTAATGGGCTAATGGAAGTATTAAGGCCTTGTATAAAATATATTTTATTATTTACTATTGTTATATTTATTCAAAGCACTTAACTTAGAATATTTTTTCATAAAAAAAAAAAATGTATGTTTATAAAATGATAAAGCTTATTAATAACAGCTTTAAATATTATGTATTATAATATGTTTATGTGTAAAAGATTTTCAAAATGTCTTATTGAAAAAAATTAAGTAAAATTAAGACTTTTTTAAATCTTTAATTTATTAAAAAATAATAATAATAATAATAATAATAACAAAATGAACACTTTTTATGGCAGTTACCCAGCTTTTAATTTAATATAAATTATTTTATTTTTGTGACATTAAGGTCATATTTTATTAGACTCAAAAGTAGATTTGTAAAGACAGCAAATCGTGTTATCAACTAAATAGCTGTAAAACTAATATTAATACAATCTTTTGACGATAAAATGTTACCTTCAATAATTTTAACACATATGTTAATAATTGTATTATATTGACTATAACTGTAATATATTATTTTATTTCTAAAAAAACTTCTAATACACTTATAGTTTTTATAAAATATCAACTTCTCACATGTTTAATTTTGTTTCTGTTAATTTCTATTGATAACCAATGAATAATGTCAATGTTAAAATTTGGATTTTTAATTTTATTAAGTTTTTTTAAGTTATTAAATTTTCCACATTACACTCTGGATTTTGAAAACGATATTGATAGCGTTAGGATTATATGATCCTTAAACGAGTTTTAATTCATCAACGTATAGTGATTTAATTCAAGATATTGTTATCACATGTATATATATATATATATATATATTATATAAGACATATTACTCAATATTCAAATTAGGACGATGGTTAATCTGATCTCTCTCGAATTACCATAGCAAATAAGAAACTTAACCCAAAACGATGACAACCTGTTTAATCCGGATTAAAAACGTCTGGATAACACCCGAACCATGAAATAGGTATAACCTATAATGTGTAATAATAATTATACTTACGTCTCACCTATACATTATTATAAATTTTAATATATACGATACCGATACGGTCGTGTTAATACCAAAAACGCAACGCACGAGATGCGTATAATATTATACCTAACAATATTATATATAGTTGATCATAATATCAATCGATCCCATTGCCAGCCATAATATACCAACCCAAATAATGTATACACACACACACATATATATATTTATATATGTATATTAATAATACCTATACGTTACGATAGTCTATAATATGACGTGCATGATAAAATATATTTTACTCTAAAATTAATTTTTCGTCTTATGTTTGTTTAACATTTCAGCCCACCCAAGCAGCCTGGAGAGTCGTATTCATAACATCGGCAGTCGTGTACATGGTGTGCTGTACAATTTATCTGGTATTTGGCAACGGCACTCGTCAACCGTGGGACAATCCGTCTAACGATCAAATTAACTTGGAGCACAAGAAAAATAAAAAGAAGAATAAGATGGCCATGGACATCGAGGACACCGTTCAATGAACGGCGAACCCCAACGTCGTACCCACTATCACCCTACACTCAACAGCCCCAGCTCACCAATCCTCCTCCCAAAATAATCATGCAATCACCCACGTCCCATTAAATCAACTACCATCTCAGTCGAATCGCGCGAGTATTGCATTTATATTGCATCTACATATGCGCATGCACGTTTTTGTGTAAAAATTTATATAAGGAGAGTACCAAGCACGATGGATACAACAATTTGCATATTAAGCGTGGATGTGTTTATGTAAAAGTGAATATTATGTTTGTTAACAAAACAAAAAGTAAAGCACATCTGTGAAAGGTTTGAAATATATATATATATATATAAAAAAAAAAGGATAATTCTTCGTAAAAGTATATTATATAATATAATATTGTTGATAAATGTATACACACTTTATTTATTATTTCGTTTAAAAAAAAACTTAATTTTTTTAGATTTACATTTAACTTACTTGGGTGTCGAATCTTGACACCATAGAAAGCACATTCTATTAATTATATTTATAATTATATTTTTTTATAATAATTATTAATGAATAATAAAAAAAAAAAAGTCGATGTTAGATCATTATTGTATATTTTTAAAAATAAAACTTATTTAATGGATAAAATATGAAAATAAGTTGAATTTTTCGTTCTATATTTGACTATTTAGCTTCTTTTTTTTAAAAAAAAAATAAAAATATATATGAAAAATTGTGATATTGTTAGAAGTATATTGTTGCTCCGGAAAAGTACATAGCCTGATGTGTTCTTGATTTTTTCAAAATTTATGTCTTCCCCATTTAAAAACATTAATTATTCCCTCTCAATTTTCCGATTATACTTCAATAGATTGTAAGTAAAAAAGAGTAAACGCAATAAGATTAAAATATATTTGATTAATTATATAAATTAAAAAAAAGAAAAACAAAAAAAAAACATAATTTGATTATTATTATATGATCTTGTGTTCCTTCGACTAGCTCAATATATTCGTTGTTTTAGACATGCATATTTTGATAAAAGATGTGCGAAATGTAACTAAAAATTAAAATAATCTTAAGCAATAAATAAAATAGGTCATTATATTTGTTTTTCTGTAGGTGACATTTTTTGAGAGCGTGTACGGTGATCTGGGCATTTCACGAAAGGGGAAATTATTCAAAAATTTCTCATTAATTTCTTTCACATTTTGTCAGTATTTTTTTTTCACATATCTATTATAAAATTATTAATTATATTATTATCGCTGCATATTTTTTTTCCAATGTGATAGTTATTATATTTATTAAATTATTCGTTAAAAGATTTATTATTATAGTAATAAAGTTAATTTTTATGTTTAAGGGTCTGTTTCTGGATTACATATATTATTGTTGTATTCATTTTTAGGATTTGTCGTTTAGTGAGAATGATAATATTATTACTGTTACAAATATTAATAATTATACTACATTTTTAATTAAAAGAAAAAATACGTTATGATAGTTATTTATTAGAAATCCATTAAAAACTACTCTATGTACCATAAATGTTATAGGATAATATATATTTATATATATATATTTATATAATATACGTAGAATATAAAAAAAATGTATCAATTTTTTTTCCAAATTACTACTATAGTTGAGTCGATAAGTTACCAAAAATCAAAACAAAAAAAAAATATATATATTATAATAATAATAATTAAAACAAAACTCAATAAACAGCAAATGACGAGAAATATATCTTAAATCACTGCTCTATCGAAATAAAAAAAAAACTATCAAACCTATTATATATATATATAATATATATTTGTTTATAATATACATGGCTCATTATTTAGTAGATAGTTTATTATTATCTTAACGTTATGTTAATTTTTTTTTACTTTATCCTTATATTTAACAGGGTAATAGTATTATTTAAATTTAGGTCAAATAATATTATATAGTACCTAACTTAAGTTCATACCATTGTTTGATAATAATGATGATAATATTATTATTATTATTATTATTATTACGTAGGATATATTTAATTTAATTTATTTATTTATTTACTATTTTTTTTTTTTTTTTTTACCTTTAATTTGTATTTTTTCGCACGTTACTTAAGCACAGTTAATTTTTATCACTGACTTTAAAATTTTACTTATAACTAGCAAGCATATTGATTATTTTTTTTAACCCTTGTATGTTGATAATGTACTATGAAGACCGAAACAATTTTGTCTCTCCGAACCAAGTTTATTTATATAATATAATGCAACTTATTATAACCATCAATTGGTGCATTTTCTGGTGACTAATTAATATCGTTCTTATAATTTGGAAGGGGTCCATTTAGAAGGAGGGGTAAACGTTATTTCGGAGAGAAAAACCCAATCGTTATTTCAAATAATATACAAACAAAATACAAGGGTTAAAAGAGTACCTAATTATTTATTCAATTAATGTATTTTAAAAAGAAGCGCGATCCAATTTAAATGAACATTTATTAATCCGATACCACCTGCGTGCGATGCTGTATCGTACGTTTTACTGTACTTATATTGATATAAAATAAAACAAAATTAAATGACTGTTCATTAGTTGAAATTATGTGTTTATTATTGTTTAGGTTGTCAATTATTATTCTAGAAATAAATACATGAGTTGTCAATAACTGTTATTATTGTTGTTTTTTTTTTTTTTTGTATCCTGAATAGAATCACCCTATTTCGACGACTCATTTATTTCGTTGTATCATTTCAAAAGACAACCGACTTAAATGAGACCTTGCGCAAAATTATTGAAAATATTTTAAATACAATATTGATAAATGAGTTTTATTTACAGATATGCAACGTGATCCATTCACTGGATTTGAATATTTTCGAAATATACGACAAGACGACAGTCAGTGCATGCGTGTATTTGTCGTCATTGACATATTATACCATCATATTGAGATTGATGAGATAAGAGGGCAAGCAAAGAAATACATTTTCCGCCTCCTCTATGTTCGTCACAATAACGAACAAATTAAAAGAAGAATTACTGCAGTGGAGCTCAATCCATGGCTGTACAAATAATAATATCTTCTCTTGTGATGTGTAATTTTCAATCTAAATAAAAAAATACCTAAATAAATAAATATAACCTGAAGATAGAAATTCCAAACTTTTCCATTGGAGTTTTCAACTCCAAAACTGGTAATAATACGCCAAAATCAATGAAGTGTTCAACAAGACTTGTTCAAAGATTATGAGTAAACTTTCAGTTTCGACAGTCACTTTTAAGACGTATTATATGATTATGTAAATTTGACGAATAGAGTCAACCTTATAAGTCAAAACAGCGGTCAAATTCGACATGGGTTCGAGAATAAGATACCATCTATAAGTCGCAAATACGTAGGTATTTTAAAAATATTTATAAAAATCGTGTCAAAGCACAAAAGCATGTATAACTATGATGGAAAATATTATATATTATACGTATAGTTGTACATAATATAACGTGTACGCTGTGCACTTGCTTAGCACGCAACGTGAATTTCACATGCGTAAAATTCATACGTGTAATATTATTTTTTTTTATTATTATAAAAATTATTATATATTTATACATTGCTTTGATACGTGTTAGTTTATCCCTCTACTCTGTTCCCGTGCACATTTTTTGTGCGGAACATTGATATTATTATTATAATATACGACAATCAGCATATTATATAAAATGCGAATCGATTTTCATATTTAACAGTTACATCACAATAAACAAGGTTTTGACAACTAACATTTATTTTGTTGTTTAGAGTCAGACGAGTAATGTATATGTACATTTATGAAAAAAATTTAAAACGCTTTAGGTTTTAACATTTTATGTATCATTTCAATGTTCTTACTCTATGGGTTGTGTTAATTTTTGAAAATCCATTTTTGATCATCGCCGATGTTAAGTTTTTAAATATTTTCTTGTGAAGAAACCTCTTGTATAAGGTAAATGAAGTGTAAGTAGCATAGCTAGTATAGCTAGTGTGTTGTAGGTACATTACAATTGCTTTTTTAAACTTGAAATGCTTGATAAGATAACCATCTGCTTAATATTCGGTTTGTGTGTATGCACCAATATGTAATTAACGAACAAAATGATTATTCAATCCAATTTTTATGTATTGTGAGTTTGTGGTTTAAAATATTTTATTACTGATTTATTTTAAATCCATCGGGTTATAATTAATTATTATCACATTAGTGCAGGTAGTAGTAGAATCACACAAAATGATAAACCACTTGGTTATTTCATTTTATTTATGTAATTTAAATGCATATTAGCCTTTTATTCCACCATAAATATATACAACGTAATGTACGTAACTCAACATTATTATGTATTACTGAAACATAATATTTTGTCATTGATAATCATTTATTGTTTGTTCCAATCAAATATTAAGCTGAATTTTAACCTCTCAGTTATGTAAACTATAAGTTTTTGATGTTTTTTCATAACGATTGGTAAGAATTTTTTTTTTTTTTTTTTTTTAAATTCAAATAGTCACTTTTAATAAAAATCCAGATTGATATTACATCATTATACTGTAATTATTGAACAATATAACTATTATAAGGAAACCAAGAGAAACACGATGTCACAGTGTTTATATCGTAAGACAAATATTTATAGGTATTAAGCTAAACCAAATTATAATATGACATCGCCTGCGTGCTCATCTTTGAATACAGTATACACTTAACGGCGTGACGGCGTTGATCTGAAATATTTCTATACGTTTTTTGCTGTGTATAAGACGTGTTAATTTATCAACCGGAATGATTCTATTTTCTTTTCTGGCCATTTTAATTCGGCCAAGGAATTCGATCAATATTCTGCTAAAACGAGGATGGATACACACCTGAAACCACTTGAAGAAAATAGTTTTTTCTGTCAGTCGTATATTTGTACCACTGGACAACCTGTCGTTTTACTTTGGATAAAACTACGTTATCCGTTTTGATTAAGGACGATAGGAGAACAGTTCGGTGTTTTTAAATCGATTGCCCCACACAGGCGACTATATAATACGATTCTCTCGGTTGTATTGGAACGTAATTGAAATTAAAGACGGGTGCGCGTAGAGTTAAAATGTGAAGAAGAAAAAGGTTTATAATATAAAACTCTTAACCACCGCCAGTGGCCACAAAACCCAGTATAATATATAGGTACTCTTCGAACGATAATGATAAATAAATAATATTGTTACTAAAACGTTATTAAACTTACCGTTTTTTCTCATTTCTTTTTGTTACCACGCTTATCTGTTCAAATCACGTTTTATAATAATTTTTAAATTAATATAGTAATTATT